TTGTAAAACTCTGTGCCCAAATATCGAACGTATGCAGGAAATTCATTGTACACTACTACGAGATAATGGGCAATGCATTTAACTAGAAATGCCAAGTATATGCCTACAACATCCAAGACGTTAATCGACTGTTTGACTGCGAATGTCACAATGCGATAGGCAATATAAAGGATAATACCAATGAGAAAAAGTGGTACTTTCAACAGTAGTAGGTAGATTGATCCTTGAAAGAAGTTGTAAATTTCATAGCGAGGTTTGACATTATTGTGTGGTCGTAGTCCCATCGTGTTCTATCGGTATCCTGTAGTAAAATTACAATGATTTCATTTATTAGAACTACCTCTCTAGATGTTTTGAAGGAAAGCTGAAAAAATATCACTATCGAACGTATTCATCCATCATACTAATCGGTACTTCGATAGGTAAAAGCTCGAGCCTCTTTTGTGTTTTCGTGTATTATGGTGTCTATTATGAAGCTAACGAACTAGATAAGTAGGTCTGTTGTTCATCGAACAAAAAAAAGCAGATAGAACGGTCAATTACCTTCGCCTTAAGGAAGTAACGGCATAGTCGCCATTGATCTCTTGTCTTGATGCTTATTATTTAGTTTCCACGTACGTTGTTAGGAAGGGCATCAAAAACTGCATCCTTTAGGGTAATTTGAAATTTTTTTAAAAAGTACTTTCAAAACAGTTATCTTTTCATGTATAAATGTGGCGTGAAATACAAGATAGTTTGAACGCTGTTTCAAAATAATGTTAAAATAAAGGCTTTTCTTAATTAATATGCTTCCAAACAGACAGCGATAGGCACAAATTATTGCTGTCTGTATTTTCAGGTATCTACAGTTTATATTATGATAAAAAGACATTAATGCCTTGTCAGAAACCAGAAGAAAATAGTTCAGACAACAAATAAGTCCTGCTTCACGCGATCAGTTCGGAAGCATAATTATGAAGAAAGCTCTGAATCTAACACTATTTAGACACACTATTCCATCCATATTATAGTTTGCACCGCATTCATGCATAAAAAATTAACCATTTTTAAGATACTTGTTAAAAAGTTATTAGCGTAATCCCTGTGGGATTAAAATGTGAAACACGATATACCTATTGTTACTAATTCCCTAAAAACTGGTCTTTTTTAAGTATAATGGGCATATTTCATCAGTTTTGCTAAATTTACAGCGTAGAACTGCATAAAGGAATTACTTCATGAATACTACAATCAGACGTTTGTTGTACATAACGTCTGATAGTCTATTGAATGTGACTATCAGGCGCTGTGATGATCCATGAACAGTGTCTGTTATGGTCTGTAATGGTCCCCAAATCCTGTCTGTCACGGTCTGTGGAAGGGTGTGGGGGGAGGGGGGGGGGGTGGAGAAGGAGAGAGTGGGCCCAAAACTTCTACCCTCTGTACTTCAACACTACTTTTAGATCTTGTTTCACAAAATAGCTCATTTTGTAGCGCATTCTGTGTCGTATGCAATGGTATGTGTCTAAAAAAATGTCACACAAGAAAAGAAGGATATGGGTAGGGTATGGGTGCGGATGGAGAGAAGACCTACATCCACACACACCCACACGCACTCTCATATCCACACTCTGCTCACATCCACGGCCAAACCCATACCCACACTCACCAGACACGCTCATACCCTCTTGTTAAGAGCTGGGTGAGAGTGGACTCGTACAAATGATATTTGATTCTTTTGCCTATAAGTTTTTGAAGAAAATGGGTTCGAGTGGAGTCTCATCAATGGAGAATCTTACGCTCTATCGATTGATACTATTTTTGAATTAAACGGCGGTCAGAGTGGGTGAGAGTATATTTTACTAATACCCCAAAATTGATGATTTTCAAGGAAAATAGAGTACGAAGTGAGATGCATCGGACAGTGAAAAAAGTTCTGCTGTATAAATCGAAAATTACGAAAAAATATGTAAGCGTCTGGATAATTTTTTGACTACCAGTCTATATTGGTTTCGCGCAAGATAGCATCCTCAGTCGACGTTTCGGGGTGCACTTAGCTCATGTGTTTTCTGATGACTTAAATTGTTCATTAGATCATCTATTAAGAAGTATTTATTTTTTCATATTTAGGTATGCACCGGCCTCAGTCATGATCGGTGGACTAAGTAACCCATTCGAACTGATATCCACTTGGACTGTGTGCAATGCGCTACTGCATATTCAATAAATTCATTGGTCAACTGAGCAGCTCGTCTGACTAGATACCTAGTCTGACTGGGTACACAGAATAACTGGATGCCCAATTCACCAATGAATTCATTGGATATTCAGTAGCGCATTGCACACAGTTCGAGTGGATACCAGTCCGATTGTAATGATGCATAACTATTCATATTTTATATAGCTATTTTCCTTTTTTCGTTTTTTCTTTCCTACGAAAAAACACAACAAGAAATTTTGCAATAAATATTTCGTGTTAGACTTCATCTAATGCATAACTGTCCCTTTGTTTCTAGTAGCAATTCCTACAATATTGGTCACAAGCGTCTGCTAAATAGATCTATCAAACGCTATATTCGTAGGAAATTGAAAACTATACATACAATACAACAGACCCTGGTACTTCACTATTTTACAACAACGCGTTCTTCTGAAATAAATTCTACAACAAAAATAATGATAATATGAGTAATTTTTCTCGCTCACGACATGTGCAATAGATCAAGAACAAACATGAATGAGATTTTTTCTACTATCTTTCTTCATCGTCTTCTTTCCTCTGCTTTTTCTTCTTCCTTTCTCTTTCTTATTTTCCTTCATGTTGTTTTTCTTTTCCGTCGTTTTTCTTCTCTAACCCAGCAAGTCAATATCAGTACTCGTCATAAACATATTAGCTAGCAGGAGCTAAATTTCGACTATATATGATGTTTATTTCAACCAGGGTTATCTTTTTTCTTCTCTCTTCTAAATCTGTATTATTTTAAAAATTTGCTAAGTGAAATATTATGCGTCATTTAGCCTTGCTCTATAAATCAATAAGGATATTCGGCTTGCTCTTTTCGTTGAGAACGAATATATTACTCTTTTGTATGTTCTTTTTCTTGTCATGGTTGCTCGTAACACTGTTCTAAATTATTATCTCGTCCTTACTTTTTGCGAGCTCTGCTTGTTTATTTGACTTTATCATCTGGTTATAGTTACTTTTAGATAGCGAAGCGAATGGCGACAAAAGCACTTGGCATTTTCACGGGAGTGGCATGAGGAATTGGTCATGCCTTGGTCAACAATTGGCAAAGACACACTTGCTTCTACTGATCGACCAAGCAGAGTTTAGAGAAGATATATAGACAAACATCCTTCAGTTAAACATCAGCCAGGTAGTTGAATAGAGAAAGGTGACAGATGTAATTAACTCGTCGTAGCTGTCGTGGGATCCAAGGGAATTCATTCTATATCTCTACCTTTCATCAAGGTTGCAGCTGCTTTTTCGATTCACTATTTTTGATAACTTATGCTAAATGAAGCAGAAAAAAATAAATTCGGTTTCATTTCGCACTACCAACAGGGAATTAATAGGGAACTACTAAAGGCACAACATGAGGACAGCTACAAAGGGTCAAAGAACGGCCTGTTGACTTTGTCATATTCAATGCAGGAATCGTATTCAAATCATCGTAGGCTGATACAGACGGCTAGCATAAAATGGTGGATAACAATTTGTTCGACATAATGAATGGAATCACAAATCTTCTTCCGTCGATTGAAAACAAAAAAGCAACCGTCGTCATTACTAGATCTAAACACGGGTGGGTGTGGAGGTGAGTAGGTGTGATGTAGGTGTGGGTGTGGGTAGGTATGGGATGAATTCAGAACACCAACCACACTCACACCCACACACCCCACATTCACACTCACACCCATACAAATATCTCATTTATTATATTAATTATTAATAAAATCGACAAAAAAATCTATTAGATTTTTCAAATTTCTATCACCGCCAAACATTTCTATTTGTATTTGTTTCCTTCAACTTCTCAATATGAGTAAAATGAGTGTCTGTATGAAAATACGAAAGATGAAGATGATAGAAATGAAGAAATTGTCTTACCATATAAACAAACGTTTTCTTATTTTAATGTTGAGTGTGAAAGAAAAAAGTTAATGGTTGATATCGATGACACGAGAAAATATAAGTGTTCAGATCAATATGAACAAATAGGTAAAGAAATACATCTGCTTGATGAAACTGATAACCACTGATTTATGACAAAGTGCATATTAGTTGGAAAACTCTACGTTTTACAAAAATAATTAAAAATGTTTGATTTTCTAATGAGAGAAACGGAAATTTTTTATACGAAGATTGAGTTATATTATCTATCGTCCTTATTCGTTATTTCAAAATAAAATGTGTGTAATGAACTATTAGTAATTTAAACAATTTAAAATTTCATTGAAAGCTCGTCTTATTATACATTTATCAAAATGATCAAAATAAACACAACTAACATAACAACTTTCGTTTATATCAGTATTCATTTTTAAATCATTATCAGATCGAGTATGAACTATGAGAATTATTCTCTTTTTGAAGCAACCATCGTTAATGTAAATGTTAAAATATACTAGAGAAACATTTTCCAAGAACAAACCGTTGGGTTCATTATTTTGTTTTTATTGATATATATAAACAAAATACGACAATTGAATTCAAAATCAATTTATATTTACAACAAGAGGAAAATAAGTAAAAAGCTTTTTACAAGAATTTTTGGTTGTTTATAGAAAAAAAAATGTTTTTTAAATTTGCACAATTGTCATGAGTGATTTTACTTGTACAATTCTCTGCTACATTTACCAAGTTTTCATAGTCAATACTTAGTGTACTAAGACGAGGTAAACGTGTATTTGTGTTGAAAAGAAATTGTTTCGCATAGTCGACATGAGACATAATTCGATCGAGTGTCATAAGATGAGAACATTCAATAATTGAAAATGTTTGTTCATGTTCATCTAATTTATTTGGTCGTTTTTTTTTGATTCACCGTACTTAACACAGTTAAATCTTCAAGCAATGGAAATGCTTGTGAGATTAAAACGAAGAAATCATATTCAATTGAACGTATTGGATCACTCACACATAGCTTACGAACATGCTTGAATACGCCACAAGGAAGATATTTATTAGTAATTGCATTTATACGTTTTATAGTAAAGGGAAGTGGGTAAATATGGCATTGACTTCTTCTTTCATTCCAAAGATAGTCAATATAGCAGTCAACATTATATCCTTTTTGGATGAATGCACGTCGAACATCATCAGATGTTGGTAAATATGCCTTATTGATTATTACATCTTCAGTGACAATATCAAAAATAAAAGTATGTAGATATGGTATTTTAATAATGATATCATTATTCAAATGAGCTCCATCAATAAATGAAGCTCGACCATGAGCATAAAGAGATAATGTTAATTTTTCTAATTGCGATATTTGACGAAGAAGTGGAACAATTTGATTAACATATTCCAATGTTATACAAAATGAAGTCAACGAAAAACATTTTATATTGAACACAATTTCCTATAAAAATTAATATAAATAGTAAATATTATTCTTTTAAAATTAGATCTAACAACTAGACAGTTATCTTCATTCTATTTCGATCCTTTTCTTTTATCCATCCATGATGATATGAAAACTTTTTCAAATATATTAATTCATAGCACTTAGAGTTAAGGTTATTTCTCGATATATAATTGCTTTCTGTCTTATCAAGAATCGAAATAAAAGAAGTTTTTCGCTATGATTTAAAACACATTACCGTATTATTGATAACCTTGGACGTATTATAAATGTGTTCGACATGAACAATCAATGTACGTAATTGACTAAGATGACCATCGAGTAACCAGAGACAATCATCAAAAGTCTTTACCTTAATATTTAAATGAACAATACTTGATGAATAGCATGTAGATGATAAAGTAGTAAGTGGTTTTAATGTATATACACCTTTGTTTTTTAAATTAAACCAGAAATGAGTTAGATTTGTAAATTCCATACAAATATTGACAAAAATACATGGGCATGAACACAACCTATATTCATATTGGATGGTACCATTAATCATTACAACAAGATCAGAAATCTGATGTTTAAAGATGTGAATAAATGATGATTCGCTCAAAAATATATAAATCAATATATTCAATTATATTTATGTATAAATGATGAGATGAAATGACGCACTAGAGAAAATACGAATAGCCATTTCAACTTTGAGATTAATAAGAGTAAGTTTATGAAGTTTAGGATAATTTACAATGCAAAGAACACTATCGATTGACCAAGGATCAAGAATTAGACATTGAATATTGTGTTGAATTCTAGGTATTATATGAAAACAGATCCGATAGAGAATTGAATTAATTTTTGAGTAATCATCTTCATTTGATGATATCGTTGTAAAATCAAGAGATTGTGTAAAGTTAATACTTCGAGCCAATCTATCGAATTTTTGATTCATTCCTATCAATGAATATAAAACATCACTATTATCGAGTTTGTTTAAGATGTTAAGCAACATTTCATCACATAGATCACGAATGTTAACATTTGAATAATTCATATTTCATTCTATATGATAATACACCTCTGTATATATACACAGTTATTTTCTATCATGTCCGATATCGTCAGCAATGACAATGTTAAATAGTAAATAGTGAATATCGTGACCTATAGTGACAGTCAAATTTGCTTATAGATGAATTATGACATTTCTATGAGTAATTTAATTACCAATCAGAACGAAGTCAATTCTATCATACCACAACGTTTAAAAATATACAATATGAATTGACTTCTCACTTCGTATGACTGTCTCAATTTTAAACATTAATAATAATTTTTTTGTGTATATGGTGTTTGCATATTCGATGTTCGCTTGGTGAAATGAAGATATTGTTCACCTACTAATTTTCGTGTGTGGGTTTGGGTGTGGGTGGATCAAGCGAAGGCTGAAACGCACATCCACCCACACTCACACTAAACGTTATATTGCATTTTTCTTCTTTTCTTTCTTTTCATGTGTTTGCATCTCATCAAGACTTTTTTGTTACTCTATTGACGAGTTTCAATCAATCAAAATACATTAAAATCAATTCAATACTGTTCATTACATTAGATCGATTTCGTCTCTCCATGGTATTGATTCAAAAGCATCTGATCTTGAGAAAATCTACAGACTAAGTATAATTAACATAATGTTGAGAGATTGTTAAAATCGAACGAATATTAAGAGTTTTTTCAGGAGTTCTCTTTATTTGCAAAAATGTTTATATTGCAAAATTGAGGAGGAGAATGACATATAATAGACTGTTAAGACATGAAAGAAAGATATCTCGGAAACTTGAACTTGGAATAAATAAAGTTTAAAACTTTAGTACTGTTTTTAGTTGGCAACTACATTGATGATGACGATGATGATGATTCGTTTATGTCTCTCGATAAATATGACAGAGACGCTTCATAGTTCAAACGGCATATACTTTCGTTTGGGTACGTCAGTAGACTTGGATCTCGAAACATAGGTCATAGGCGATCAGTATCAACTAGTTGGTTACAGTGAACTAAAAAGTAGTCGACAAGTATTGAGAAATCAAGAATAACCAAAGTGATGAACGGCATAGTGTTCATTTATTTTGATCAAGATTCGAAGGCAATAAAATATCCACATGGATGTTATCACAAAAATAGAACATACATGTGCAAAATTTAAGATCTCTCCAAACCAAAGGACTTTAACTACTAGAAGACGTTATGGAATATCATTCGGATATTGGTACAGTCTCCTCTGCTAACATAAGTAAACATTGCCATAAAACATCATTTTGTGATGAGAGATGGTCGATCTCTTCTACTCAAGGAACCCTCATATACTATCGGAGCTTTTAAAACTCTAAACATTAGTCCTAGACTAGAATGCTATTGAAAAGATCAAGTACGTCGTAAAATCATTTCACAAGACATACAACTATCGAATATTTGCAAGAATGATAGTTTATCGATAGTAAGTAAGTACCATTTTGCAATGTAAGCTTCTTGATAAGAAAAAACCTGTAATCATGTTTGTGCCTGCTAGACAAGAAATTAATATTTAATACATACAGGGTGTCACATAACCTTTGCCTCTTCCTCTACAACTCAGAGTATTAATGATATCACAAATGTATTTTATACCAAACTAAAGCGCGTCAAAAACTGAATTTATTGGTACTAAATGGTAAAGGTTATGAAAACCTTTTAATGTCGAATATAAGAAATTTTCAGAAATTTGATACTTTTTTGGTGTAGAGAAGTAAGGTGCTAGTAGTTCAAAAATGGAGTGAAACTTTTTTCTTGGATATTTTTACAGGATTCGGTAGAGCTCGTCGAGCTGTGGTAAACTGCATATTTCACAAATATTTTGAGCCATCTTTTTGAGATAAAAAATTCAAAAAACTATTTGGGAAATCTCAGAAAATGTTCAAAAACTTCAGTTTGCTCATATGAAAGAAAAACACTCGATTTTTCAATAACATTATCTTTTACTCATTATTTTTGCTGTCTCCGACACTTCAAAATGCGCTCATTGGATGCAGTTTTTCACGCGACATCGGATGAGTATATTTCGAAACGTCGGAGACAACAAAAACAATGAATAAAAGCTAATGTTATTGAAAAATCGAGTGTTTTTCTTTCATATGAAAAAACTGAAGTTTTTGAACAGTTTTTGAGATTTCCCTAGTAGTTCTTTGATATTCGACATTAAAAGGTCTTCATAACCTTTACCATTTAGTACCGATAAGTTCAATTTTTGACGCGCTTTAGTTTGGTATAAAATATATTTGTGATATCATTGATATTCTGAGTTGTAGGGGAGAGGCAAAGGTTATGTGACACCCTGTTATACAATAGGCTGGAAAGAACTTGCAATGAGTCTGCATGCGATAGATTTCAAATGAAAGAACACATATGTTGTAATACACATCGCATGAATAAATGATTTTTATTTGATGGGTCATAAAGAAAAAATAAAAATATATGATTGTGTGAATGGAATGTGCGGATAGTTTCTGATTTGATGGATCGAAAATAAAAAAAAAATAATTATATAATAGTTTGAAGAGAACTTGCAAGTGATTTCCATGGGGTTGATTGTAAGTAGTAAAGAAAGCATAAGTGTTACGTTGAATATCAGCTATCGTTAGTTTGTGTTTTAACAGAAACAGAAGATCTACTTGGAGTTGTGCATGTTTTCTAAGATTGCATTGTTTTTGAGTTTGTATTTATAAACCGAAGTAGTTTGATGACCTTTTTATTAAGATATGTGTTGCTGTTTGATTATGAACAAAATGTTTGAGACCAGCTATGCTATTGGTGGAAACTTCGAGTACACTTGCAATCAGAATTCTGATATGTTGATGATGGCGCAGTATGGTTTGTCAGAAGAATCAAAAGCTATAAAAAGAAATGTGGAGGAATACGAAACGAATGAAATTTCATGAATGAATATCTCTCATATGTAGATGAAAGAAAGTCTCTCGGTAAATGAATAGTTCACAAACGCATAGAAGGGAAAACAAATGAACGCTTGTTTTTATAAGAAAAATAGCGAAAACGACCAACCCTTCTCGATAAAACAGAAAGAAAGAGCTGATAAAACAGTTTTTGTTGCCGTTGTGAATGTACCTTTATTGTGAACGCCGTTTTGAACGGAGATTTCGGATTGTTTTTTGTTTTGATGAATCAATCTTCTGAAAGAAAAGCTCAGAGTCAAGCTTTTCATCTGATTTACACTTAGGATTTGGTTGTTATCATCGAAGGTCTCAAAAAAATTCGGAAATCTATTTAGGTTTCCCATTATACTTTTTTGAGAGTTGAAAGCTTCGAAAACCCTTTGGTTTTCGAGCATCCAGAAATCAAGAGGATATCCCTGAAACCGATGGTTGAGGCCGAAAACTCTAAAGGGTTTCCGGAGTCGTTTGAGTTTTTTTCTAGGAAACGAATATTTTTTTAGAGAGTGGAAAACACTGAATGCGAGGCGCGCGTATGAACAGTTCATCTCTCGCACACGTCAACGAAGAGCGAATAAACGATCATATCGGCGGTCAGATTCGTGCATCGAACAAGAAGATGTAAATTTCCGTAGTGAATGTCTCTCTTTCTTTCATTTCTATCGTTCGCGAAAGCAACGACGACAATAACATCAAGAGTGGCATACAGGAGACTATTGATCGACACAGATTGAGTTCGAATACGAAAAGGAAATGTTTTCGTCGCGACTGGATAAAATTCTCAGTACTGAACACGGAAAATCAGCTGCTGGCAATCGATACTTGTGTCATTTTACTGAATACTCAACGAACTACGAACTGTTTGATAGAAAGCAAACGCTTGTCTCTGATATTAGTAACAGTTGTTGTCATTTCATATGAGATTCAATGCTCACATGTCGCTTTCCTTTTGTTTTTGATAGCTTTTATGAGTCCAATGACAAGTATGTCAAGACAATGTGCACGTGCGCACATGTTTTTCTTATCGTTTTCTTCTTCGTTTTTGCTTTTGTTACTGATGTCCTTGGTATTTTGTTAACTATCGAGTTATATGTCTGCTGCTGCGCATCATTCGAATATATCTGAATCATCGAATACAATTGAGCATGTTGTTCTTCGACCACCTCGAGCTCGAATTATTCAAAGTCGTGGTGATGGATTTGGCGCGTACATCGAACGTTTGATCAATGTAGCCTATGAAACCTGTCGGTCATTCAATACATTTATGAAAACACGCAACGATCTCATCGATTATATTCGTCGAGAATTGGATCGAGTCTATTTTGATTATCAATTTTCGATTATTATCGGAAAGAAATTTGCTTTTGATCTTGCACCTTGTCTTCTCATGGCCGAAATCGAACATGGAGGATTGTCTGTTCTAATTTTTACATCAATCGGATGTTCCTATTCGACCGTATTCACCGAAGAGGATCCCAATGATGCACCACTTGTTTGGTAGATGTATTGACATCAATGAGAAATATTTGATTTCATTTTTTTTTCCTTCTATAGTCCCGCTCCTATATTGATTAAACTATATTCACAAGATGCATGTTGGGGTATGGGTATGGGGTGTGTGTCTTCCTTTTCTTCACATCCGCATCTGCACTCACACCCACCCATACTCACATCCATGCTGACACACCCACACTCTCAGAAAAGATCGTTCAGTAATGAAACTGAACTCCTTGAACAGTTTCTTCATTACGCCACTTTATTGAAGTGTACAATAAGTGATCTTCAATCGTTTAATATTTAACAATAACTTTGAAAGTTCTCGATTCTTTGGATTACCCTTTGAATATTCATCATCTTTTGGATCTTCGAATTCGTGATAATCTTTTACATGATAAGCTGAATCACATATATATGTACTAGTCTCGATTATATACAGTTCTCTTTTATGGAAAAATTATGACTATACTTGAAATCAAAAGAATGTTGCACATTACTTAACATGGTGTTATTTCCTTCGGTCATAAAAAAAGAACTCAAACTACGAATAATATTGCTTCTTATGTGAATATAAAACCAATATTTGTTTGATATTTATGATGTTTCATAAAATGATCTAGTTCCTTCTTGAAAATTCCAGATGAGTCATGAAAAAATTAGGATATGTTGATGTTCTATATAAAAAGAATTTAAAAATCAGTCAACTTTAGTTTTTTATTCTGAATTTCATTGGATATCGACAATCGCTGTTTGACCTATGGAATCACTACGACAGTACGTATTTGACTTTTTTTTAAATGCTTTATCTATAAAATGGTGAAATTCTCTTGAAGAAAAAAAGATATAGTTTTCATTGATTGAAAGAAGATTTTTGCCACTAACAAAGACCTATTATCAGTTGTTAGTTCACAATATCACTTTCGTAAAAACAATAATTAACATAGCTCTTTCTTTTTTGCCAAATTCACTATATTAAATAATGTATTTAGTTGGCATACAAACTTTTTATGAAAAGTATTTTTTCTTCGAATGATAATCATTCAAAAACTAATCGAAAGAAAACTGTGGAACTTTAGATATTTACGGTTATTTTTAAAGTAATCTTTAATTCGATGAAATCAAATTTGAAAGCATTTGTCATTCGCTCTAATAAAGCATCAGGAATCTAAATTGTAAGATTGTTGACTCAATGAATTCGAGTTGTTTTCAAAAAGAAAAGTAAATAACTATGCAGATAGACAAACGGCGAAAACTTTGTTTTGATGCCTTGAAAGTAAAAATTAAAGACAATGCTCTAAAATTAGTTCACTGACAAATAAAAGAAATAAACGTGTGTCACAGGGTATTTTATCTGTAATACAATTCGACGAAATGGTCCGCGATCAGATCTCTCATAAGCGACAAAAATTTCTGAAGATTTCGTCATTCCCTATTCGAAAAATATGCTGTTTTTGAAAAAAAACAAAAGTCTTTTTCATTTTATAAGTTTCCGATCGTATCTCCAAGAATTCTCGAATGAGCTTCATTTCAGCCAATAACTTTTTCGTTATTTGCAAGCTCGTGTTTAGGGTTGGTGACTCTCGCGGTCCCTTTTTTAAAATAATTTTTTTTTAATTTTCATATAAGAGAACACTTCTAGAGGAACAGCGCCATTTTTTCGAAGTTCTTTGAGTCACTAAGATTGTTATTCCTTTTCTTCTCTTAAAAAGTAAGAATTAAAAAAAAAAAAGGCTCACGAAAGTTCCTAGTTCTAAACACGAGCTTTCAGACGAAACAATTTCAATGTATAGAATGAAGATTCACAGAGAATTCTTGGAGATCAAATCAGCTATTTTTGACCTTTGTTTCGTGAATGTCTCTGTTAAACATCATAATATAGGACTGCAAAAGTTACCATAGCTTTCCCACACCAGCCCTATCATATCCTGAAAGTTTCATGCAATTTGAATGTTCCTGGTCTGAGATCGGTTTTTGAAGAAGGGAGTCTTAACGAAGATATTAGACCAATGGACATTTTTTAATGATCGAATTCGATAAATTAGGTAAACAAATGCGTTTTAACATGAATAATCGTTCCTTTTAACGAATCAACACAAAAAAAGAATTTGAGAATAGTCGCTCAGTACTACTCATTTATATAGCACTTCAATCCAAAGAAAAATATATTTGAAGTAAAGTAAATAATGATGCATTTATTAATACTAAGTACTTCCGCTTTGATTGCCAGGTATACATAGAATTCGTCAAAATAAAAAAATCTCGATCATAAAAAAGATCGAAAAAAATGCCGAAAGAAAAAATATGGAATGTGTAATAAGTCGAAAAGGTTGGAGGTACATATATATGCACTATTTACCATTGAGGGTAGAACGTAGAACCAATACAGGTGTACATAGCTGATCGAACTCAGATTTCAAAAACTTTTTTCCACTGGATTCGGATCCAGGTACAAAAATTCTTAGATCTGATAGCTCTCCAATAAAAGTTCAATCAATTAGGTCTGAATCCAATAATTTTGATCGACTAGGTCATGATCGAGTTCAGGTTCAGAAATTCTTGAAGTCGATGGCCTCTACTTAGAAGGGGTGTCAGAGTTTCTGTTTCCTTAGGTTCTGTTCCTGAGAAACGGGAGCCCATTTGAAACACTCGTCATCATCAGTTTTTGATCATCTTGAGATTTTTAGATGCACTTATAGTTTCAGTTTGTATCAAATCACTATGGACTTCCAGATTTCTAGGAGCGAGAACTACACCGAGTGTAAGTTTTAAGTCGAAGTTCTTCAGCTTCCCACCCCCGTCTACGTCAAACTTTAATTTGATTTTAATGATTATTTTGATGAAGAATCGAATATAGATAATGTCACCTAATTCGATATTTAAACACAGAAAAAAATTTGGTTGAAATCAGATTTTTTTTCATTTTTGTTTCCATACTTTGACTTGTACTAGTTGTAATAGCTATAGTGTATGCATGTAAAATATGTTTAGATTTCCGAAAAAAATGAAATTTCCTTAACTTCCAGAATTTTCAATGTGAACAAGAGACGTATTAATGACAATCGGTCTGAATTTCTACAATACCACAGAATTTACAAAATTAAATTCTAATGACGAAACCGAACTTATAAAAGTGATTTCACATATTTCCAGGAATCTTCAGCAATTACAAAATATTTTCGAGAAATTACTGAAAATTTCTAGTAAATTCCGTAATATCTTGGTAACTTCTGAAATGCCTATAGTCTTGAAGAAGGATAGAATCTTCTTTTCTGTTTACGATCCACTAATATGTTCATATAAATATTAAGAAAATTCCCGTAATTATTCAAAACTCCTTTTACAATGTATAGCAGTTGTCTAAGTTTAGAAAACATTTGTCTTGAATTATTTTAATTTATACAACTAATATTCTTTCTCGTCACTAAACCTTAACCATAATGACAAAAAAAGCGTTTCTTGATAGATTAGTTTTGTTTTCAATTTAATCAAAATTGTTCTATTGATTGACTTAAATGAGAATAGTTGAAGCAATAGAAATTCTCATTGAATATATGACGGCTAAAACTCTAGAGAAAACGTTTTAATTCTTAATTAATAACTGTTTTACTTCTGCCAGATTTGGTTATCTATCGATTGGCATATAATCAACGGGAAAAAACGAAAACTGTGTACTTCACTGTACTCTACTATAATCTAAGGCTATGTTATAATTATCCTTGAGAACTTTTTAGCTATTTCATATCTACTGTCGACTCGTGTTACGATATATTAGCTGGAGTCCAGCTTTTGTAAGTCTATCTGAAAATAAAGCCCAAGTACTTTGTTGTAAGTCACTGATAATCAAATTTTGAAGTATAATGAAGTATTTGGGATTTATTGCCAGATAGGCTTACATAGGGAGGACTCCGGTTAACATACCGTAACACAGGTCGATAGTAGATCTGAAATAACTAAAAAGTTCTCAAGGAGAATTTTGATATAGTCTTAGAGTACACTGAACTACGGAATTTTTCCTTTCTTCTTTTTCATCATCCCTTTGCAAACAAAATGGCATAGGAAACGAAGAAGTTATTCAAAATATTCTTCATTTGTTATTCCGTAGTAGTGATGGAAATATTTGATTATACATTTTGAACAAAATTATTGATAATATCCATTTTTTTCTTATTTCAATTATATTAATTTAATTAATAGTAGCTTAGAAGAAGAACCATTCAAAACTTCGACATCGGCTAAAGAAAATGAACACGTCGTCATCAACTTAGATGCCGAGAGAAAATCAATCGAACAAAATCCTGTCTTGTATGATTCTAATACAGTATCAAAGGATCCTTTTATTCGACTTGCACCACAACCTCTAACAAATCTTGCCTCACTTGAAAGTGAAATTCATTCTACATCGTTATCTACGTAAGAGAACTTTCTTTTTTTTTGTAAAGACTTTGTTCATTGCGAATCTTATTGAATTCTTCAGAGAGTCCATCAATCGATGTTTATCGTTTCGGTAACTATTTCTTTGATATAACTATATAAATGTCTCGTATTCACTCTTAATTATTTATTTTGTTTTCATATGAATGCAGACAACGCCGATTAAGCTCCCATACACGATCTACGAGCGAACTTGATCGTGCTGAATATCATTTAAATGAGTTACTGAATGAGCCATTATGCGATCAAGATTTTCGCACTGTTAGCAAACACTTTGATGGCGATATAAGTAAAACAAACTTTACAATAGAAGAATTTTATAAACTATTTCAACTCACAAAGACACTCGGTAGGAGAGAAAGTTGAATCTTCAGTGGAAATAATTCTCTATCTATTTAGGTGAACGTCTTCTTGTTATATTAAATGAGAGGGCGAGTATTGAAGCTAATTCAATTAGTGGTGAAAGTATTATACGCATCGTTCGAGTTCTTTTCAAGGGACCGAGATCAGTTAAAGCTCTCATTCTATTCAAAATATTCGATCATGATGATAATAAAATGATAACTATTCAAGAAATCTCAGAGTTTTATGAAATTTACCTTGCTGAATTCCGGTTTCCTCACAATGAACTACGTCGTCAAGAATTGATTAATACATTTCTTCAAAATTTTGGAATGATCAATGATAATGATAAATTAAGTTTCGATCAATTTTATTCAATTCTTCAAGAAACACCTGAATTACTCAAATCTCTTCAACTTATCAATATTCCAATGAACGATAATGATGGTGAAAAGTCAGAATGGCAAATATGGCGAATCAATAATCGATATCAAATTCTCATTGGTCTTCTTTATATCTTAAGCACAATTGGTATTATTATTTATGTGATAATAAAATGGACTATTCATAAACGAATGCGAAATGGTTGGTTGATCGTTGCACACATATTTGGATGTTTAGTAAAATTTAATTTTGCTCTGTCAGTCGTTCTCATGCTTAAACAATGGATGAGATGGATTCGACAATGTTATTACTTGAGACGTTTCTTACCTATTGATGATCACATTGATGCTCATCGTTATGTTGGGACAGTTTTTGCAATTTGTAGTGCAGTGCATTCATTGGTTCATATCATAAACTACTCTGTCAATAGTGAGGGTAAGTTTACATGATTATCAAAGTCATTTAAGCTAATAATGATAATTAAAATGACAATTCATAATAAATGTTAATGATAGATAAATAAATAACAATAATAAAAAAAAGAAGTTGTCTATGAGGCTGAATGAAACATTTTCTAACAAAATTTTTGATTTTTTTTCTAGACTAGAGTTATAAACTCAGAATTCTTAAGCTCAACCTTCAATTATCTATTGATTATAGTATTTAATAGCAGAAAATCTCTCTAGATGATTTCATATTTTTTATGTGAAGACGAAAAAAATCATTTAAATGCTCTTCTAAATAAGTCAAGATCCATCATAATTACATAAAAGCTTCACTTAAGCACAATATAAACTTTCTAGGAAGCATTAAATCGAATATGTAAAAGCAATGGCATAGTCTAAAGATTATCATAAAAGAAAAGAAATTCAAATTTCATAAAGTATATCAATGAATTCTTAGTCGAATAAAAGATCACTATGTCAAATCATATGATTATTTTCCAAAAAGTCATATCCCAAAAAAGAACACAAAAATAGTAAGAAAAATTTTTAAAAAACAGCAAAAAGCATACAGCTACATTCATACATATCACTTTTTTCGTTTTCTTGCCTCCTTCTCAAGTTGAAATGAATATGAGTAATAAGTATATGAAACATATTAACAAGAAAAAAAGTAAGGTACACCAGAAGTCAATAAAGAGACAGAGAACGAGACACCAATAGAAAGAGAAATGAAGAAAAAGAGTTTAGAAAACGAAAATGTAATAAACTTATGTGACATGCTTTATTGATGAATACACCCAAAAAAAATACGTAGATTCCGACCTTTACAATTCATCATAGTGCATAGTCACAGTATAAAATCGAAAATTTTAACATTATTCGCAAGAGACTTATTTCAAAATGAAAAAAACCTTTTGCTATATCAAGAAAATTTTCATTTGTTTAAAGTATCGATACCAATATAATAGTCTACATAATAAAGATAGAACAATGATTATTTCGAATTTTTCGTAATATTTCATCTTTTTGTTTTGGTCTTCGAAGTCACCTATTGTACACGTTTGAAAATTTCATCATTTGCACAGGCTATTCATTTGTTCAATGTATGTTCACGACAATTCAACAACAAGGTTGGATATCAGGTTTGGCTCCTATTACAGGCAATATTCTTCTTGTTTTACTTATTATTATGGTTATTTGTGCATTACAATGTATACGTCAACGAGAAAAATTCTTTATGCTTTTTCGTATATCACATTTACTCTTCTGGCCTATGTTTATTCTTCTTATAATTCATTCAGAAGATTTTTGGATATGGACATGTGGACCAATGTTTCTCTTTCTATGCGAGAAAATATATCTGTTGAAAAGATATTTACCACAAAAAGGTCGCACTCATTTGAAAAGAATCACAATTGAAGATGATAATACTATTTCATTTATCATCGTACGACCTCCCTATTTCAACTTTAATACAGGAGATTATGTCAATATTTGTTTTCCTCGTATAGGTATAATAAAAATGATTTTTAAACGAAAAAAAAAATTTTTTTCATATTTATCTATTTCAGTTTCTTACGATTGGCATCCATTTACACTTTCAAGTTGCCCAGAAAATAAAGATACTCTACGTATTCACATTAGTAAGAAAAAGAATTGGACAAGAAAAATCTATGAATATTTCTATCAACAGTGGCAACATCAAAAGGAACATATCGATGTTGCTACCATTTCGACAGTAACCATGGCCAGTAATAACATACATTCTCCTCCTGTTAATTATCCTTATACCTTCAATAGTAGTGAATTCATTTGGATTGAAGGACCTTATAGCAATTCGACATCGTACACATTCGACTGTGAACATGTTGTGTTAATCGGAGCAGGCATCGGTATGTTTTCACATATAACAATATCTATTTTCTTCAATTGATTAAACTGAAGCATTTGTTTCATTTCGAAGCCCAACAAAACTATTTATAAGTAGACCTAGGATACCTTCTCAGCATTTAAAAATTTTACTGTGTTTTTTGAAAAGATGTCATCGTATGTGTACATGAAGACATTTCAATGTAGAAAACGAAAACTAATAGTATTATATTTGAAATTCTATTCCTAAGTTTTTTGTTTGATTTTACTAAAAATAATCTAGTCAGATAGAAGCCATATCTATTCAGAGGACTCTCTTCCATTGTTCTTATCAATTTATCGTCCATTCTACGAATTTGATGATTGTCATTTTTTTCATGCAATTCTAATATAGAATTGTATCTTTCAACTCCATCCTATAGTAACGAACTTAATATTCTCATTTGTCTTTAAAATTGGTGATCTGCAATCTAAATTTTGAAGTTTTGTACAACTTTTATCAGTAACGCGTCAAACTTGTTGTTAGTAAGCAGATTTTTTCATGCCGTTGATTCGTTCAATTTTGAAGCAAGAAAAAAACTTTAAAAGATGATATTCTATCCTTATCGAATAATTTCATAAGATCAAGATCGTTGTTTTTTGTTTAAACTGTTTCACAATGAATTAACTTGAATATATTCCTTATTATATCAATGTTTAGGTATCACTTCGTATACTGGCGTTCTCGAATCTTTAATGTATCAATTTCGTGAACAACAATACATATGTCAAAATTGTCACCACATCAATTATGATCATGAAGCAATTGTACGACGAAAATTAAAAAAAGTCGATTTTATTTGGGTAAATCGTGACGTGGAAAATTTTTCGTGGTTCTTACAACTATTGACCGACTTCGAAAATGAGCAAATAGCATATCTTCAAGCATTAACATCGGAAAATACTGTCCAGCAACGTTATATTGATTTTCATCTATATTTTACATCGTTGAAGAGAAATGATCAAGGAATGATTGGGAATGCTCCTTATGATCTTGTCTCAAATATCTATGCAAAAATATCAAATCGAGATATTCTTACTAAATTGAAAACAAAAACAATTCTGGGCAGACCACATTGGCCATCCTTATTTGCCAAATTCAAAGCTGAACACGAAAAGACAAATGTCTTCTTTACAGGAAATCATAGTATGGGCAATGAAATCAGGCATTTATGTGATCAATACAAATTTATGTATCATCATGAACCTTATTTTTAATTGTTGAATGTGGGTCTGAGTGTGAGTATGCATATGCGTGTAAGTCTAAGTATTTGTGAACATATGACCAATTGTGAGTTATCATTCGATCGATACGACAATCTTTATGTCGTCAAATATGGAAATATCAAGTGCACGGATTTTATATTAAATAAACTGTTTGTGTCGTTTTTGCTTGTTTGTTTGTGAAATTGTTCTACCGAATATAAAATAATTATTCTCTTGTAGCTGCACAGAACATATGCAATCGAGGCAAGTTTACACGACGACAATGGTCTTTATCGAAGGTGAACTAGAAAGCTTGTCGTGTTGCCATCACCAGAACAAAAAGAATCTCTCTGGGTTGAAAGTATAAAGCTCTTCTAACTGGTCTGAAAAAAAGAAGATAAACTAATTCATAGCGAATGCTCGTTGTTTCATAGTGGTTCATGACCAGTAAAAACCATACAAAACAACAGAAAATAGGAGCACCCTTAAAAAACATTCCCACTTTTTGTGAAATTCAGAAAGACGTCGCTAAATATTAATTCCTATATCTGTTTGATAAATATCTTTTGAGAAGAATATTTTTTTTTATCAGTTGATAAGAAATTTTCTTTTCTTTTGAACAGTATATGATTTATATTTGTCACACATTTCTAAATGAAATAAAAGAAGAAAAAAAGAGAAACACAACACAACAATTTCATAACTTTTACATAATATGGCTACAATGATCTTGTCAGACAGTAATTAATTCGAATTCTGAGGAGCCATTAAAAAGATCTTGTAACATGGTGCTTACTGTGACTTTTATGAAATCGATAAAAACATCTTGTAAAACGGCAGTTTATTATAATAAACTATCATCTACATGTTATTTTTGACAGATTCATATAAAACTTGCAAATTTATTGAATGAGTGCTTTTTCTTTTTCTCGTGTCGCTTCACTTATCAATGGGTGACAAATATGAATCATATACCGTTCGAAATGTGAGTAAATTTCCTATCAACTGATAAAAAAATCTTCTTTTCAAAACCTGTTTATGGAAGCGATATTAGGATCGACATTTAATGCGGTCCTTTTATGGAAAAGTATAGATTCGTTTTAAGAGTACTTCTCTTTTCTGTTGTGTCATTTCGTTTATGAATGTGTTATAAAAATAAGTTGTTATATGTTTCGAAAGAGAAGAAAAGGCTCTATTTTTTGAATAAAAAAAAAATTCCGTTTAGCATCCTTTTATTGAAGAGAAACAGGAATTGATAATTGTACCATTACTTTGGCATCGTACGTTATTTAATTCAAAATAACTGTTCCTGACATATTAGTAATTCAATATATTTTGAAATGAAATTTATCTCAGAAGGCAAAAGCATTTTTTATATTACGATTTTATTTGAAAAACAAATTGCAACATCCCCGTCACACCACTTTCATCTTGGATATAAAAAGATTCATTTCTTTTTTCTATCAGTCCTGCAGATAATATATGACCAAGCTTCTCTATATATACGCTTATGACTCATTACGAAGACGAAAAAACAAAAAACTAAGTCATAGAAAGCGAGAGAAATGAAAAGAATGATAGAACGTACGCTTTTTTGTCGGTAAATCTGTTTTTTTTAATAAGTTGAAGACTATACCGTATCTATTTCTGAAAAACTCTATAAAATAACCAATCTTTAGGATCTTTCCAACGATTTAGTTTTTTCAACGTTGAATGATATTCAAAGTTACGAGCCAATTGATATTCCATAAAGTAGTGCTGATGATGAGTCGAAATGACTAGAAATATTTATAGAAATATCAAAATTTATCATTTTGTTATTATTTAGTTTCGAAATCTACTAATATCATTTTTTTTGATTAAGAAATAAATTATCTGCATTAATCTATTATTACATTCTACAGGTCAAACTGTTACTCGCTTAAAGGTAATAATTTGTTTCAAGCTATGGAAAAGTCTCAATCATTGCGTATCAATTTTTTTGTGACTATACTTCTCTCACAATATAACTTAAGGAAAAAAACAAACACTATGTGAGTAGACTATTTGATAAAACAAGAATGAAGGTAGAGAGAATGTATTGTAACAAATATTTGTTTTTTGTTCTTGATTGATCGTCAAAAGACTATCTTAATCATAATTATGCGAAAAAATAGTTGTTTACAGCCAGATAAACGATGTAGATTTTTGCTTATGGTGTCTTCTTTTGGTTATTACCTATACAGCAAGTTTGGAAAAGAAAAAAATACAAGAAAATTTATTTGTTCCTCCAAGAGAGATACGCTTTGACGTTAGAGTCTAGCTGTAAGTATAATATTCTATTGGCTGTCTGACTATCGGGTTATATTTTGGATCTATTTTGCAAGCAATATAGACAGATTTGCTTGAATAGCTCGGTAAGAAAAACAAACTTGCTCATCATGAAATATTGCAGACTATTGTATATGAGATCGTGTATTTCTTGTGAATAATAAGTAATCGTCAATATTCAATAAATTTCTCACTTATCAATGGTGCACCTATCATACAACAAGATAGTTATTGCTCTTAATATTGACTCCATCATGCTCGTGGCTTCTATAGTTGTCTTCATGATTCATCCATCGGCCAGCATTTAGATTCGTGCGCTTGCGACGAGTCACTACTTCTCGATAGCCTTATGATTATAGCTACGGTAATCATAAATAAACAAGCCAAAGCATAGCACAGATGTGATTCAATATTAATTGCTGTGAGTTACTAGATGAAACATTTTGTAAGAAATTTTCTTTCGTTCTTAATATTGGTACATATGAAATGTGACCGACTAAAATAGTTGTTAATAGCTATTAGAAAATCTAACGATTGTAAAAGTTTTACATTTTATGTCTTTATAGATATGAAGAATGCTGTTTCTCGAAAGATTCTAGGCGATGAGTGATATTACCGAAAATAGAAAAAATCAAAGAAAGATTCAATAAAATATCTAATAAAAGTTAAAAAATTTTGGAAAAAAAAACATTTTTGCCAATGAATTATACAATAAACGATTTCACGTCAGATTTCAAATATTATCAACTATAGATTTTTTTGGAGTTTGTAGAAAGGAAATCAAATAGTGAGGAAGCAATAAGCTCCAATAGTAAGTTCTTAAAATAATACTATATCGATTATGATTTTCGTGCATAAATTTTACATTGAATGGATTAAAACGTTTGTACGCGAATGAAACACCTATTCTGATAGTTTGCAACAACAAAAAATTATTCTCATTTAAAATTATTCTACTTTCTAATTTAACTCATAAACTTGTTCGCCATCATATTCACGAAGGAGAAATGTTTATAATTGCATCCGCTGTTTTTTTTTCTCGGAGTAGAAATCTTGAATAATTTCTGACATAATCTGGATATTGTAAAATGATGTATTAGGATATTCTTTTCCTCAAACAACGTAGTGATAAAAAATTATCTTCGAATGTTCTTCTGTAGCATCATTTTACTTGGTTTATAAGGAAACATGATTTAAAAAAAAACTCAACAATAAATTTACAAGCTAAGAAAAAGAGAGCAACTCAGAAAATTTCGAAAGTTAAAAGCAATTTTATAAATAAGAAATAGTAATTTTGAATATGAATCGTCAGAAAAAGAAGAAAAAAGAAACGCATACACAATGTAAATAATATTTCTTGATTGAAACAACATTAGAATTAAATAAAACAATTCTTTTATCAATCTTTTATGATGAAAGTTCGTTTATATGAGTCAACACTTGTTTTGGTTCTATCTTTTATTAATTTTATTACGGCTAAAAACAATGAGACTAGAAATTCTTTAGCAAGTAAACAACATATTTTCAGATACATATTAGAGTAATGTTTTAGATTGGTACTGGGATTTATAATATAACTGGAAAAGTTGCTGAACGTAAATTTTGTTTTTTCTCTTAAATCCAGTGATTAATGTTCATTCAAAACTATTATTTTTGATTTTGGACATATATTTTTTTGTAAATAAATAATTGTTTGTTTTTAAGAATATTAAATTTTGTCTATTTATGTTAGTTGGTTTTATGAGGTATGCAACTCCCTAACAACGAGATCACGGTTTATTACAACGAATGCGTTCTCGTGCATTTACAATAGGTAATGTTAATAAAGAAGAAAATCGTGTCGTTTATGTATTTTCAATTAGTTAAAACAGAAGTTATAGATCGTTTAAATAAAAAATTTGGATCAAAATTATATACAGATAAAAATGTTTTAATATCTGGTATACATACACATTCAACACCTGATGGAACAGGTGGCACTCTTCTAGTTGATATATCGACATTCGATTTTGTTCGAGAAAATTGGGAAGCATGTGTTGATGGTATTGTTCAGTCAATAATACGCGCACATAAAAATCTTCAACTCGGAAGAATTCAAATAAATGTTGGACAAGTTGATAATGCTAATATAAATCGTTCTCCAAGCTTCTTATTTGCATAATATTGATGGAAGAAATTATACATATAATACAGATCATGAAATGACAGCTTTAAGATTTGAATCAATTGATGGAGAACATGAAATTGATATGATTAATTTCTATCCAGTTCATAATGTTTCTTTAAAAAAAAACAAATTTATTAGTTGCGGGAGATAATAAAGGTTATGCTTCATATTTATTTGAAAAAGCTTGTTAGCGCAGCCCCTTTGGGGCTGAAATGTGGAACTCACGTATATTCTTCAGCTTCATTATACTAATATGAAATATAGATAGTATAAAATCACGAGTTTTTTAATTTTCTGACAGCCGTCCTGATTTTCCGTTTTCTTTGTTGCTATTCGCTCAGTATTTTTCATATTTAACACCTCTTTTTTCTTTAATTTTACATTTTTATTATAAGAAGCATTGAATTGTATGGCGAATGAAACTGTTATATATATATATGTATATGTATATCCATTATTTTAAACCTGGTCGCTAAGGTCTGTAATGAGAAGTATGTCTATAATGTTCTCTTCCGTTACCATGGTCTGTAATGGG